ACCGGTTTGAACTCAACACGCCAAGATGTCGTCCTCATCCTCCAAGCCGAGCACTTCGAAGCTCAAGATGCAGCACACTGGTAGCTCCACTGGCGCGACTTTGTCGGCACCAGGTAAGAGGGGAAGCGGACAAGTGTTCAGATTCAGCAAGAGCGCCGAAGCAAAGAGGTTACAAGGTCAATCTGGAGCAGGTCAAAAGCCACCGTCTTCGTTGCGTGCAGATGCGCACACTAGGGAGGGCAAAGGAGATGCAAAAGCAAAGGGTGCGAATGCCGCAGTCCGCGCCAAGGTCGCTGCAGCTAGTAAAAGTGCAAACAGGCAAAGACGTTCCAGGCTCAGCAAATTCGACTCGGATTCAGAAAATGACGACGCGCGAGATTCAGCCAGCGACGATGACGGTTCGGACGAACTTGCGAGCGACGACGAGGAGCAGCGCACTACAGCGGCAGCGACTGAAGCGAGTCAAGGCAAGAGCACAAAGACGTCCAAGAGAAAGCGACGGGCAGTCTCTCCCGAGACGTTCGGGCAGACACTGTTAGGACTGATTGGTCAATCAGCGCAGGCAGGTCAGGACACGATCGACGAGCACAAGGCGGAATCCGGAAATGACAAAGACGAGCAAGATCAGCCTTCGAAGAAAGCGCGCACTTCCGCCTCGTCCGGTGCAGGTCCGATGCTCTCCCTCGCACCACAGCTCCGTCGAGCTGTAGCTTCTTCTCGCCTGTCAGCCAAAGCGGCCCGCGTCATGCTTCAAGCTCGCAAAGAGAGGCAGGAGCGTGCGCGGGTAAAGGATGTGATCAGTGGGTGGGGCGCCCCTGGTCTGCCACCTGGAGTCACGCCGGACTTGAATAGCCAAAAGGAGATGGCCGAGGCTTGGATCAAGGACGGCGGAGCGGCGGGAAGAGAGCGCAAGCTTCGAAAGGTCGCTCAGAGAGGAGGTGAGTCGCGGTCAATTGCTAGTTGCGCCATGCCCGACAGGATGCGCAGTACTAATTCACACTCTGCACCTCGCGCTCCTTTTCAAGTTGTCAAGCTCTTCAACGCGATTCGAGCAGCCCAATCCACATCCGTGGAAGACCTGTCTCGCTCGGTGCAGCCTCGTGGTGTAGCGCCTTCTCCTTCTCCATCCGTGTCAGAGGTGCAAGAGAGAAGGAATTCAGGCAAGAGGCATCAGGGTCGGGAGCCAGAGCAGTGGCAGAGCAAAGGTCAGCAAGTTGCTCAGCTGAGCAAGAACAACTTTTTGGACTTGATCAGAGCGGGAAAGACCTCCAAGGCCTGAACAAGCTCACCACGAGCACGACCGCGACAACATGCCGCAGGAGCTAACACGCACAGATTCGCCCTGGTATACATTACATCCATGCATTTGGTCTACTTGCAAAGCAGCGGCTCATCGATCCGTGCCATCTTCGGCTTTCCAGCCTGCAAATGTAGCCCAATCAAAAGGTGCGTTTGGATTGGTGCTCCGAGCCAAGCTCTCATCATCTCCGCCAAAGATGGCAAGCATATCGCTCCAAGACTGCACTCCCGAAGCGCCGTTGCCTTCCGCGTTGGCTTGCTGATGTCGGCCCGTCAATGCGCTCGAAGCAGCTTGTGAGTTTGCCGAGAATCCACCCTGAGCTCCTGCTCCACCATTGAAGAAATTAGCGAGGGCATTGAGACCTCCACCGCCATTGCTTGTGCTCATCATGGCGCTGATTACGTCTGCCTGTGAAGTGTTGCCCGTATCACCTGCGCCAGCATTCGTCATTGCTCCTCCTAGACCCCATCCTGCAGCGCTAGACATCATCAAATCCGTCATTAGCCCGCCTCCAGCTAAGAGCGAATTGACGCCTTCGCCGCCCAGCCCGAAACCTAGTCCGGGCGGAAAGGGATCGAAGCCTCCAGACATCATGCCAGACGACGGCACGCTGGATCCGACATTGTGATGATTTGCCGACGCAGCTCCGCCCGCATGACTTGGTGGCACGCCGCTCGAAGGTCCGAGACCGAAGAGGGGCAGCGCTGGCAAGGCCGCCTTTCTGCTAGTGTTCGCATCCTGGCCGTGCTTGTCCGTAGCCGCCGCACTATCCTTGCTCTCGGCGCCATTCGCATTGGGGGGTGCGACGATGAAATTTTTGGACCGCTGAATGTGATTGCTCTCTATGAGACCCTTCCAGTCCGCGATACTCTGTGCCGCGTCAGAAATGAGTCCAGCAGCAGCAGCCCACACGCTGCCCATCTTGCAAGCTTCATCCGAAGACAAATCTCCCCTCCTCACCCTCGGCTCCATCTCCCTCAAGCATCTAGCAGTAAGTCTTAAGAGGGCGATCTGGACTCCTGCTCCTGGATTCATGGCTCGCCATCCCATCAGCGTTGCCGCACGTTTCTCGACTTCTCCTTTGGCCACATTCACGATAGAAGCGCATGTCCACATGACCGGGATCGCACCGACGGCGTGCGCTGCACCGACTTGAAGCTCTCCAACGCTTGTTTCCTCCTCGTCCGTCTCTGCCTCCGAACTAACTGAGCCGTCAACCGTGAGGCTCGAAGACCCACGAGATCTTTGAGCAGACACGAAACGTCGTGCAGCCGAATCCTTCTGATGTTTTGATTCCGAGCGTGGTTGCCTAGAAGCCGTATTGTCCGATGTATGACCAAGACAGGCCAGATCTGTAAACGCAGACAAGATGCGCTGAATTTGTTCTCCGTGAAGATTGGATCTTTCTCTACAAAATTTTCCAGTCGAAGGGTTACCGTGTACTTGGCGAAGAATGTCAATCGGACCAGTCATGTGCCACTCGCTGACCGGCCTGCCGTAGATGACGTAGATGAACGCCATAGAAAGCAGCAGGTACTGCCTCTGCTGTTGATCGATACTGAGCCATCGAACCAGCACGTCAACGGATCTGCTTTCCAAGAACGGCGCTAAGGTAGGAATGCCGCAAATTAGCTCGAATCTGAGAAGCCCCAGTTCGGATGCAACGCACCCAAATCTCGCTTGGTCTGCGCATCGGCCTCTTTGAGATCCGTATTGAATTCCATCAAAGCCCTAGTCGCAAATGACGTCCTCTCGCTCGATGATCTCTTGGCCTCTTGCCTGTTCATACTCCCGTCCATCTTGCGCCACTTGTCGTAGAGCTGTTTCAGCGTCAAGAACCTCGAGCGCATGACGACTCTTCCGGCATTCCTCAAGCTCTCAATCTCATCCGTCGATGCGCCCGGCTCGCTGTGCAGCTCGAATTCGTCGTTGGGATCCGTGAGTAAGGATGCGGGTGGTGAGACCATTTCGTCATCAAAGGCCATCGCGGCGCTCCAGCAGGCTAGACTGTGCCACACGATGGCTTCATGCATGGCCTGTTTTTGGGCGGTGGAGGACGGCGCGCCTTGTTCGGGCACGCATGCACGCTTTCCAGACGTCTCATCCTGCTCTTCCTCTCGATCTTCATCTGCAGACTCATTAGCGTCCATGTCCTCACTGCTAGCATCGCTGTCTTCATCCGTGCTCTTTCTGCGCCGTTCGTTGCGCCTTCTGCTCGCAGAGTCCCGTCGCGCTCTTTCAGACATTTCGCGGGAAGCCGAGAAGTGACTCGCTAGCATCTCGGCGGCCCGTGCAGGCGCAGCAGGTAAGTTGAGGGCCTGAGCGATGCGCTGGGCGACTACGAGTAATCCTCTTCCCGTAAAAGGCTCTGGACTTCTGGGTGCTCTTCTAGACAGGCGCTCCAATGGAGCCAGAGGCGCGTGCGCCGAAAGGAGCTCCAGAGCCTGGACGGACAAAATGTCTGGTCTTGTGCCCATCATGACCAGGGTGACATCTCTTCTGACAGCTGCACTGAGCAGAACTAGGATGTGCGACGTCTTTCCAGGAGAGGAAGGCTGAGGTTCCAGCCTTGGTAGTGTGAGCAAGTATAGTAGAGACAGCAGTAGCGAGCTCGAAGTGGTAGGCGTTGAAGAGTGCCTGGTGCGCAGTTCAGAAAGGGTAGGAAGGTGCGGATGCCAAAGGATGTACGCATTGGCCCTGCGTGTTCATGCACGCAAATAAAGGCAACATTGAGTCGATGCCCGTACCACATGCATATAGCGTATCACTCACCAAGGCGTCAACCTCCGACTAAGCTTTTCGCTGACAATGTCCAACACGTCTGGAAAATCCTGCTCAGCTTCGAGTGTCTGAGCTTCGCCAGTCCAGTCTGTCTCAAACTTTTGCTTGGTGGCAAAGCTCTTGTTTTTCACCAAGTATTGTGCGAGAAGGGACAAGGGGCGCATGGCGAGCTGTGCGCCAGCCGTGAATCCAGGACTTATGTTGTTTGGCAAAAAGATTTGCAATTGCTCGACCGAGGCGCGCGTAGTTGGAGACGGTGATCTCTTGTGGGAAGAGATGTTCATGCCATCAGACTTGACTTGTGCCGAAGACACGAGATTCTGGCTTGCCCTGGCGGCATCGCGCCCATCCAATGTCAAGCTGCCTGACAGAGGATTTGTGCGCGCCTGTGCTTGTGCATTTGCTGAGCTTTGCTGCACCTCTTTCCCGCTGCTTGCGTTGAGCATCTCGCGAGGCGAAGGATTTTTTGCAGGATTGCGATGGGCAGATACGGTCGCTTGAAAGCGATTTGGGGATCGTATCTCCACCTGCGATTCATCTTCGTCCTCTTCCAGACTGACAGAGTCGCCATCATCTTCTGGCAGCACCAAAGGTACAACTGAGGTCCTTCGCGTGCTCGCACCCGACTTTTTGTTGGTGTTTCTCTTCTTGTCCTGCTCGACGTCCACGATGCGCTTCCGCTTGCCCCGCGCATTCTTCTCGTACACCAAGCAGCTCAAGTTCATATTGGCGCATCTGACGCATCTCATATGCTCGGGCAGGGGCTCTGTAGTGGACACTATGTCTGCGAGCAAGACCTCTTCGGGCAGGTTGCACTTTGCTTTGCGCTTCCTGCACTGCGTGCAAGTTCGAGCCGCGTACGAGCCGCGAGGACCCCGCTGGACGGGTGCCGAAACATCCGAAGAAGCTGCTCTTGTCGCTTCAACTGTCCGGTTCGTCATCGTGGGCTTTGCCGCAATTGAGCTCGCGGCGTCTCGCAGATCGGAAGCATTGCTGCGGAGCTGCGTATCTGAGCCTCTACTTGCAGAGAACGCTCGTGAAGCTTCGACATTCGGCTCTCTCCGACGCGAGCCAGCGCCATACCCATCTCGTGCCTCTCTGTTTGAGGATGCACGCTCTTCGTGAGCTGGGAGGCGTTGGTGATCGTGCAATAAAGGGGACCCGGCTCCGACAGCCCAGCGAGACGAGTGGCCGTGGTTGAACGCTCCTGCATCCTTCCTTGCATCCGCCTCGTGCCGAAAAGATGCTAATCTGTGACGTGCATCTTCATCGCGAGACGAATGGTGCAACGCTGAATCTCTGGCCAGATCCGCGTTGAGCTGCTGTCCTCGACTTTCCGGTGGCGAGATAATCCTGGGAAGGGTAACATGATCCAAAGCATTGCCGCTCGAAGGCGAATGGAGAAAGGTGGAGAGCGGAGCACTTGGAAATGATCCTCTGGGCTGCTGCTGCTGATGCGGTGCTGGAGCGGGACTGCCCTCAAAAGCAGCGTGAGGTCTGGAAGAACTCCTTTCCGCGAGACGTTGCTGCTCGTTATGATCCTCTTCATCTCCTTGACGTTGACGGTTCCGAGCGTCAGAGACGGAATGATAGTGACGTCGATGATGCATCGTGCCAAGGCTGGGAGCTTGTCGATGCAGGACTCAGTGATCAGTCGCCCGTGGGAGAGCCGATAGCCAAAGGGTGACTGCGCAATCTTGGATGACCTCCTGAAATATTCCGATACGAACAATCAAACTTCGAATTGCGGGAGCGATATTTAGACTTTAGATCCGGCGTGCGTCGATTAACAGCAGCAGGCGGACAAACAACCTTGTGTTTAACTTGTCGCCAAGTCGCGGTGCAGTCGATGGCAAGAGGCGCCGGAGAGACAAGCACTCCAAGTCGGACTACCTGTTCCTGTTTCGCTGCGCAGTACAGCAACGGAACAGTCCAAGTCTAATTGTCGAGGAGCGTGGGACCTTGCTACCCGTGAGCTCCGCTATACCAGCTCAGCTGTGCTGCGGCAGTGTCGTTGAACGGGAAGCAAGGCGAGGATGACGATCAGTTGGATTATTTCCGCCGGTGGACTCCGCCTCGTGGAAAGTTTCCGCCGACCAGTGACGCGAGCGCTGAAGGTCGTGATCGCTGCAGCTTGCTCATCGCTTCGATCTTTCGTTCTTACTCACGACTGTAGCGCTTGTGGGGATCCGTCAGGGAAGCACCGCCAGACCAGTGTGCCGGACCTTCTGCAAAGCAAGAGACCACCTCGAAGCTGTAGCGGAGGGTGCGAGACGACTGTCAACGTCAGAGATTCATATTCAGATTGTGATTGGAAGGGGCAGGCAGGCGCGGATGGAATTTGTTGCACATGCAGCAGCTCCCGCATCTGCATGGATGCCATGGCTGTAGCTGATGAGACGCACGGCGCGCCCCCGCCTGATGCATGCTGCATTACACACGCTGGCCGCGCTGCTATTCAAGATTAGACCAGTGACTGTATGTATATACATACAAATATATTTAGGTTCGTGACTGCGCCGTAGTCGCGTGCATGCGAGACTTTGCGCATTCGTTTACCGCCGTTTGGCCGCCCAGCAGTCACCAGCACGATCGCATGCTGCACGCGGGCTGCGCATAAATACGTCGTGTATACAATAGTAGTATATATATGCTTTCTTTCCGCCAGACCTCCGCGCGCGGAACAGATGCTGCAGCAGCGCAAGGTGCGACATGCGGAACACCGGGTGTGCCGCTGTTTGCCGGCTGCGTCAACGATACACGTGACCTCGCTTCACATGAATGTCCACAGATTCGCGCTGGTGAAGCCGATCAATCGTGGACACTTCCATAACTCAGCTTCTACCTCTGTTTAGACACCTCCGCTGGACTGTTCCACGGAGTCTCACTTCTGACGCTCCGCTTGCAAGTTGCCGCAAAGTCAGGTGGGGACCAATTTAACCTCCCACCATCGAGATCGGCCCGGATGTAATCGGCTCACGCATTTCATATTTGGACATCGCGCCGACCGTAAGAATATTCCTTTCAGCGTGGAGAGAGAGACATGGATAATAGTCATCAGCGGTGTGGCGGGTGCTGCCAATCCGATCCTTAGCCTCGTAACAACCCAAGTTTGCGACTTAACAATCGAAGAGACGACTCGCGCGAATGCAAGGGCCAAGACATATCCCGGCAAGATGGTCTTGCCGAACTTGATTACAGGGGTCATTTGGTTGATGACGCTAAGAGAAGCAATTGAATGCACCCCGCTCTACCGCTCCTTCGGGAATTCCTCAAACCGTGCCGCGGACTGCAGCGCGTCGGTGCTCGTGAGATGCTGCTGCACGCATCTTCCATTAACGCATCTGCCCGATCCACACATGCAAGCCACAACACGTTTCAGAAGGCGGGGACGGGGACGGGGAAGGGGACGGGAACAGCAGGGCTGGGGAAAGGGGAGTTTTGGCTGGAACGGCAGGCGCAATGCCGTGCAGTGCTTGCAATCACGGATCATCCACATCCATACATCCTTGCTCTGATTGCCCTCGTGACGCTTGCATGGACTCCTGACTCACCTGTCGTCTCACTCACCGCGATGCCTTTGCTGACCGAGCTCCGTCCTTTCAGCTCTCTCCTTGGTGACCCGCCTGCTTCGCTCCTTCGACACGGTCATTATACACACGGAAACGCCGCTTTTCTTCGCGATACTTCCACCACCTCTTTCACTCGCTCGCCTTCCTCTTCACCCCTTCTCCCTGTCTGGCCAGCGTGAGGCCGGACTCGATCAAAAGAGAAGCCAATCTACGGTCTGAGTTCGAATCGACACACACGCCACAGCTCCGAGCACACTCAAAAGATTCGGCGACGATGCGAGGGGCATCGTTGCAGTACGCCTTCACTTTCTTGTCTGTGGTGGTACTGGTGATCGCCACGATAGGGGCCGCTGCTCAAGGCACGAGCTCACAAGGTCGACGGCGAGACGTAGCGCTCATCGAAAAGTCGAAGCGCAAGTCACATGTCTCGCGGGATGTCCCATTGACCGACGCGACGCTCCGAGTGTTGTATCAAAACGATTTGGATTGGCAAAGAGCAGCGAGCGGCAATCGTCAAGCGGCATACATCTCGCTAACAAGCAGCAAATTTTCTTTGGCGGATGCGACAACTGCGTGTTCCGCCTTGTCCGAACAGCTTGCTACCGTCACGACTACGGCGTCCAAGGGAGGCAAACTCAGAGTATCCGATGCGGGTCTGCAATCGCAGTTGAACTATCTGTTGTACACCAAGCAAGCGGCATCTGGAGATGCTTGGTGGACCGCCAATGGCAATCGACTGCGCATCAACGCAGCGGACGATGTGACGCTCGTCGCAAACATTACGCGAACCAACAGGTACTTTTCTCTCTGCACGCAACGAGCACCATGGAACTTTGCCAATGGAACGGATACGAGCGTGCAGTGGCAAGTGACGGCCAACGGTGATGCAGCGAGCTGGACCGGGTGAGTCTGCCATGCTCAGGAAAGCCGCGGGAACTGCGTTCATTGCTGATCGACACGCTTCACGTCTCTGCCGACAGCTATCGCGATGCCAAGTCGTTTCGCTTCCAGACGCTTCCCTTCGCTAGTGCTCAGCGCTTTTCCAGCTCTACTCCCCTGATCCCTAGCGGTGCATATCGAGCACTTGATCCGAGCAGGGACAAACAATGTCCGCAGACCAGCGGCACAGACAAGACCTGGGCAGAAGATTGCCTCTTCACTAGCATCTACACACCCGTCATTCCCAGCCTCTCGCAACGTCGATCCAAGACGGGCCTCAGACCCATCATGGTGTGGATATACGGCGGTGGCTTCTCCTCCGGAAGCGGTCAAGACTTCACCTTTGACGCGGGCGACTTTGCCAGTAGGAATGACGTCGTCGTCGTCACGGTGAGTGGCGGGCGTGGAAAAGCCGCGACAAGGCCATGCGCGCTGACCGCTTGACACGCATTAATGCACTGCGTCGCGACACGCCAGCCTAACTATCGTCTCGGATCGTTAGGTTGGCTCTCCATCGATGACAGAGCCAAGGGCAACTACGGCATTTCCGACATTATCTCCGTCTTGCAGTGGATCCAACGCAACATCGCAGTCTTTGGAGGAGACGCCTCGCGAGTGACGATCGCAGGACAAAGTGCAGGCGCTCAAATTGTCAACCTGCTCTTGTCTTCTCCCGCTGCAAAGGGTCTCTTCAGAGGCGCCATTGTGCAATCTTCCAGACCCTCGGATGCGGCCAACACTCTTCAAGCGGCAAGTACCTCCAGCTCATCCAATGCGCTCGCCGCTAGCGTCATTGCCAAGCTGGGATGTGGAGATGCCTCGGACAAGCTCGTGTGCCTGAGAGGCTTGTCGCCAGATCGCTTCCTCCAGACGTCTCAGTTCAGTCGGCCCGTCGTGGACGGTGCGCTGGTGCGCACAAATCGATTGGACGTGACGGGCAAGAATGGTGGTATCACGAATGCCGTGCCGACCATCATCGGATTCATGCGGGACGAGATGGCTGCGCTCGGATATTACCCGCCAGCCTCTCAGACGAACCTTTCGGAGGCGCTCAAGAGCGCAGGTATTGCCCAAGCGGACATTTCCACCGTCGTTGCCAACCCCGAAAACGCCTTTCCGGACACGGGTGTGCGAGACACGACTGTGCGCGTGCAGAGCTTGATCAGCGGAATAGCTCGATGCGGTCAGGAATCCACCATTGCTGCTGCTGCGCGCAACAACGCGCTCCCGGCCATCTACGCCTACGTGCAAGATCAGCGAAGTCTTCAGATTCCAAATTACGATCCAAATGCCGTTTGTCAAGCCAAGGGAGGCAGTGCCAGTTCTGGCTACTACTATTGTCACAGTGGAGACCTGCTCACAGTATTCGGCACGTACGGTTCGGCCTTTGGAATCTCACCGCGGGACAATTTGGACATTACCTACGTCAATCTGCAGATGGACATGTGGGGCGCATTCGTCAGGAATGCGGATCCTAACCTCAAAGCTGGATACTTGAGCGCCAGAGGAGCAGCCTACGCCACTTCCCTATCCGCCATTGCCTCCTTGCCTTCAGGCTGGCAAGGCACTACCGCGTCAAATTTGGCACTGCTCAGCTTCGGTCCGCGTCCAGTCATGACCAAGCTGGGAAGCGGCCAAGTGGGCAAACAGTGTCGCGTGCTGGGCAGACCGCTCGATTATGTCCAGAACGGCGGAACCCCTAGCAATGCGGGAAGCAGTGGCAGTGCACGGACCGCTGGCAGCCCCGACACAAATTCCAATGCTGCAGCTGCCGGCACTTCCTCCTCCGAAATGCCCAACCCCTCAAGCTCCCCCTGCATTGGAGCTTTCTGCTTCGACTTATTCTGAGTATCTTTTGCTGCAACTTCGTTTGAAAATTCCCAGCCGCAGACAAGCCCTTTCCTATGCGCGCATTTGTATCAAAAGTTCTATTGCATCTGCTGTAACGTCGAGTCGTGCCAAACCTTGAAGGCGTATGAAGTGTGACGAGGCACAACAAGGAACAGAGCGGAGGCGGTGTCGCATTGCGTGCGGCCGCAAATACCCAGAATCTCAAGCCTCGCATAGCCTTCAGCGAGTTTACCGACGCGTTGAAGGCTCGAGTGTTAAACGTCTGCTGAAGCGCGCCAAACATTGTCGCTTCGAATGCGCCGCTTCAAACGTATCCTATAGAGCATCATTGCCGATATCTTCGTCCCGCTTGTCCTCAGAAGGTGGATCGTCAGCAGGGTCTTGAAGCCCAGCCAGCTCGGACAGGGCAAAGATAATCTTGTCGACCGTGTCCACATGATAATGAGCCAAGGTCTTCTTGCTCGAAGGCCCTACAGCGGTTGTCCAGATGCCGTCCGAGTGGAGCGCCATGGGTCTCGGGCTTCCCATTTGCTGCTTGGGATTCAGAGGTGCCGGGGGAGAGATGACAAGAGTTTGCGTCGGCGCAAGGCACATCGCTGCTGCTTCCTCATCTGCCGGCGTTTGAGGCACGTGGCCTGCGCTCTCGCCTCTCGTCGCATGCCGCAGAGAGGATGGATTGCCGCAAGCGCCGAGCGAAGGGCTGTCCATACTGCCACTGCTAGCGAGCGAGCCCAGCGAACACAAAACGCGGAACATGTCCTCCTGTACAGACCCGAGAGCAGTCACAATTAGCGTTCTGCACACGACCACTTCGCGACGCCAGCCGACTCACATCAGTCTTGTCATCCCCAGCACAAAAGACGAACTCAGCCGAGCTTGCATACTCGTACAGTATGCGTTTGCAAATCTCTCCCTTGTTGACGGCAAGAGGTCGGCATTCCAGGTTCTTCTTTCCAACCAAGACCTCTACACCTATGCTCGGATCTTTCTGGACCAGGTCGTTCAGGTGAGCTTGCGCTTCTCGAGCCTGAAATGCGCCGTAGTCGGGATCCGCCTGTCGATAATGCCAAGTCATCGAGCTTTTCTTGGCTTCGATTTCGCTGCCCGGTACGCGCTCGGTAAAGTAGGAAAACACCTTTTTAACATCTTGCATCCACGACATGTCCAGCACCTCTGTCAGATTCTCCCACTTGCCCTCGCCAGGCTTGCGCACGTACCCTCCGTGCTCGGCGCTAAAGCCAAGGTTCTTGAGATGGCCCAGATGCTTGTCCAAAAAGTCGGCATCTCGACCGCTGATGATGTAGATGACGTTCCTCTCATCCTCCGAAAGCTTTTGCAGCGCCTCCAACAGCCGCTTGGAAGGCACAGCATCTGCCGGATTTTTGACGATGGGCGTCAAGGTGCCATCGTAATCCAACAGTATTAGGCGCTTTTGAGCCTTGTGGAACTTTTCCACCATCAAGGTGCGGTTCAGCGGTGGAGTAAAATGCGCAGCATGCTCCGACAGCAAGCGCAGCAAGAGCAACTTGAGCAATGATGCCGCCCAGGTGTGGCTGGTGTGGGAAACGACTTGGTGGTATAGCTGGTCATGGCGAGCGATACGTTCTTCGTCGCTAAGCCGTAGAGCGTAGTCGATTGCCTTGCAGGCATGCGCGGTGGCCCACGGGTTGATCTGTTGGAGAGCGACCTTTTGATAAGTCGCGGGAAA